CCTAAAACACCCCAAAACACGGAGGACCCTTTCGAGGCAGACGTCCCTCTTGGTGAGTCTGGGCATGGCCATGAGCGTGTCCTGCACGATGTCCATGGACCCCAAACCCCCCAAATCCCCTCAAATCACCCCAAAACCCCCTCAACTCCCCCCAGGACTTCTCCCAAACCCCTCACCCTCTCTAGGCAGACGTCCCTCTTGGTGAACTTGCGCACGGCTGCGAGCGTGTCCTGCACGATGCCCATGGACCCCAAACACCCCAAACCCCCTCAAATCACCCCAAAACCCCCCCAAATCCCCCTATGACCCCCCCAAGCCCCTCACCCTCTCTAGGAAGACGTCCCTCTTGGTGAACTTGCGCACGGCGGTGAGCGTGTCCTGCACGATGCCCATGACGGGCCGGTTGCTCTGGGGGGTGACGATCATCCGGGGCACCATGGCCAACTCCTGGATCTCCGCCCGCGTCTCCAGGGACTGCGGGAGGTGCAGGTTCATCTCGTCCCCGTCAAAGTCGGCGTTGTACGGGGTGGTCACGCTGAGGGGGGACACGGAGGGGTCAGGGGGGACATGGAGGGGTCCTACAGGGGGGTCAGGGCAGGTTCAGGGTGATCTCGGGGGGGCTGGGGGGGGGGGCGGGGGGGCACAGGAGGGGTGACAGAGGGTCCAGGGCAGGTTCAGGTTCACCTCATCCCCGTTGTACGGGGTGGTCACACTGAGGGGGGACATGGAGGGGTCAAGGGGCATGGAGGGGACATGGAGGGGTCCTGCGGGGGGGTCAGGACAGGTTCAGGTTCATCTTGTCCCCATCAAAGTCGGTGTTGTACGGGGTTGTCACACTGAGGGGGGACACAGAGGAGTCAGGGGGGCATAGAGGGGTCCCACAGGGGGGTCAGGGCAGGTTCAGGTTCATCTCATCCCCGTTGTATGGGGTGGTCACACAGAGGGGGGGACACAGAGGGGTCAGGGGGACATGGGGTGGGGTTAGGGGGGCACAAGGGGGTCCCACAGGGAGGTCAGGACAGGTTCAGGTTCATCTCATCCCCATCAAAGTCCACAGCAGTTTTTGGAGGGTCAGGGTCAGTTTTAGGTTTCAGGGTCAGGTTTTGGAGGTTCAGGGTCAGGTTTTGGGTTTCAGGGTCAGTTTTGGGTTTCAGGGTCAGTTTTGGAGGTTCAGGTCAGTTCTGGGGTTCAGGGTCAGGTTTTGGGGTTCAGGGTCAGTTTTTGGTGGT